GGGGCTGGAGCACCTCCATGTAGGCGAACTTCTCGATTCAAAGCTCTGCTTTTCTGCCGCAAAATTCCAGAGCATGTTTTGAAAGTGGCTGCAGAAAGTTGAGTCTCAGCCAATGACCAAACTCCAGGGCCAAGCTCCAATAAGGTGTCTTCCTTTTGTCTGAGGCCAGTGGGATTGCTGACGCCCACAGTCAGCATTTCACCCATGTGAGGACCAGGGTGCAGCGCCTCACCATATCTAATTGTACCACCAACTGACTTTTCAAACGTCAAAGAAGACACAAAAGATGGGGCATGACCGATAAAAGACCAATGGTTTGACTCCGGAACACGGCAGCCGCAACTCCCCGACCCCAAACCTCGGTCAGCAAAAGCTGCCGAGCTGTCGATGAAGAACCGGGCAAAGGAGTGCTGCTGCTGCAGAGCCATGGATGGTGTAATGAACACCATCAACATCATGAGCATCCATCCAAAACTGAGAGTGGATCTTGTTGTACCTCCCGGCTTCCGAGTCGATCCATTCTCGGAACCGGTTTGCGCTAGTCAAGCTTGACGCTGCTTCTTCTCAAGCAGCGCCTCAAGGCGGCTGAGCTGCTTGTTGAAGGAGTCATTCATCTCTGAGGACAGATCATCTTTGACTGTCTTCATGGTGGATTGGAATGTGCTTCCCAAGACATGGAGCTCGTTCTGATGAGTGTTGAGCGTTTGCTGCATTGCACCCATCGTAGATTCTGTAGCCTGCAATCTCTCACCGGCCTGCTGGAACCATGTGCTGAATTGGGCATTTTGGCCTTTCAATTCATTGAGACCCACTTCAAGTGCTTTGATGCGGGTTTCTTGTTGTCCAGCACCGCTCTGCAATGATGCTGCTGCCGCTTGTACTGCTTCTTTGGCTTGAGTCTGCATACTTTGTGCCATGTCATTGCTGATGTCAGACCGCAGTTGTTCTTGAATGGCAGTCAGTTTGGATTTGCCATCAGCCGATGAGGAAGGTGTCGACTTGGTGCCATATCTTGCCCAAGGATCTTCTTTTCTCTCCAGCCATGGGTCTGCAATTGCAGGTGGAGTCACTGGTTGTGCCGGTGCCGCACGGATCTGTCTCTGTGTCTTCGTAGAAGCAATGAAAGTTTGTTCATGCTCAGGCTGTTTCAATTCCTTCACCTGTGTGATGACTATGTCATTCTGGAAACCTGTCATGACTGGTAGGGGTGGAGGATCCTGAGAACCAACACGCCAAGACATGTGATGGTAATTGCCTCGTCCTGGCTGCAAAGGTCTGGCAGTCCACTTCCAGTCAGAAAGAAGCTTCACAATGGCATGCCGTTGAGTTCCATGTGGGACTGGAAAAAGCTCGTAGATGTGCTGCAAGTTCATGGCCACAAAATCTGTGCCCGGTCGCAAATGGGACCAAGCAGCCTGTTCATCTTCCTTCTTGACTCGGATGCCGTATTTAAATCGGAGTCTTGTCAAACAGATCGCCCGATCATAGGTTCGGCATTGCTGTGCAGCTTCTTCCGCAGAGACGCCAGGAAGCCATACGACTCGATATCGATCATCTTGCTCTCGAGGTTTTGACCCTCTTGGCTCTGCATACACTCCAACCGGGGTGTTGGTGAGTAACTTGCCCAGGGCACCTTCAGGAATACGCAAGAAGACAGTGAAAAGGCTGGCTTGGTCTTGTGGAGATTTACGGCCATTGGCGTCGAAGAAACTCCTGGCCCAAATCTCAAAGATGACATTCTCCACCGTCTCATCAAGCCCAGGATGATATTTGCCACATGCTGCACCGCATTTGGAGCCCTTGCAAAGTTGTAGAGAGTCCATCATAGACACCAATGCCCGAATGGGGGCCTGAGCAAATGACGTCCAATCTCCATTGAGTTGGTCTCGAAAGACCTGAAACTTCACCACCTGGGTCTCGACCAAGTCTGGGTTGGAGTCTTGGCTGGCAAGTTCTCGTAAGACATGATTGTCTCCCAGCTGAAGGATGTGGCCGTAGATCAAAGTGTGCTCATCTGTGCCTTTGAATCTGGCTGGGATGATGATAGGCTGAAGTTGTGCCTTTTGAACAGCCTCATCATCAGGCTTGTCCAGAAGCAGCAGTGCCAAGGCGTCTGTGCTGATGGTGTCAGGTTTGTCCAGAAAATGACGCGCCATCTCTGTTGTGCATAGGGCTACTCCTCGAGCTTCAGATTCCACCTCTTCGTAGCGGATCTGCGGAACAGGCAGATCATCACCATCCTTGAAGTGATGGGCATCCAAGTCAAACTGAGATGGTTCAAGACAGACTGGTTGGCTCGGGTGAGCTCCTTTGTGTTGCTTCTTGGCTTTGTGATTGGCAATCTTGGCGCCGTGTTTGGTCTTGGCACGCTCGGCAATGTAAAGCTTCTGTTCGTCTTGTGTGACCAAGCGAAACATTGACCCTGGCTTGCTGGCCGCTGACTTGAGGTCAGACCAGGGATTTCGAGCTTGCAGAATTGCTTGGACTTGTTTAAGTCCAAGTCTGCCGGTGATCATCTTGGCCCTATCTGAAGATGCCGCTAAGGGGACGCCCTTCTCTGACAGCAGCTTGGCCAGTTGTTGCTGAGTGTTCTCGGCACCTCCGGCAAAGAGATCACTTGGGTGCCATTGCTGTCGCTCAAGCAGCCAAAAGTGAATGTTTTGGAGCTGGTCATCAGAAACGTCATGTATCAGATGAAGCAACTGAGCCATGTGGATCAGGGCAATGGAGCCGCAAGTAAAGGCATGACGCTGGCAAAGTCCAACACCAGGAGTCATCCCTGAAAATCCAACTTGCAATGTCTTGGACATTTTCTGGGCTGTGTGATATGCCCATGGCCAGCTTTGACCCATTCGAAGTCCATCGTAAAGGGTCCAATGAAGTCCATCATGCTGGCAATTCCAGAGTCCATGTAGAAGAATCCAATGACCGTGAAGTTCACAGATCATGAAGATAGGCCCATATCCACAGGAGCTGCGTTGGATCCAGGTCTGCTGCACTGCAGACGGCAAATCCAGCCTGAGAAAGTGGGTGATCTGGAAGGGCGGCAGCAGGAATGGTTCTTGAGGGAATTCTTCTGCATCACGAGCACATGAGATCTCCCGCATGAAGTCCCAAAGCAACCGGTCTCCCAATTGAAGGTGTCTTTGTGCTGATCCACCTCCCAAGAGCGGTGTTGGAAAGGGACATGGCTTCACCTGTCTGCTGACACAGATCTTGATCTCATATGTCACCCCTGGTAGGAGTTGAACCTCTGGATGCATTCGGTAGCCCTGACATGTGATGATCACGTAGTGGCCCCATCCACAAAGAGCATTCTCGGCCTGGATCAATTGCCCAACTGTGGTAGGCTCGTTGATCTGAATCACATGAGTGACCTCCTCCTTGACCAACTGCAGTTGAATGTCTCGTGGTTGATACATCTTGGGAGTGATCCATCTGGTGAATGAGTAGGTGCGCAATGCATTCTGCAAGATTTTGATAGCCTGGAGAGGTTCCAAGTCCGTCCATCCCCAGTGGTGAAATTGCAAAGAGGCCAAAATGTGAGATTGCACCCAAAGAACTTGCAAAGGCGCCGCAATTTGACCAAGAAGGCTGAGAGCTGCACGTGGAGGCATAGGAAAATGGAAAGATGGTGGCACTGTGCACAACATGGCCCCCTCCTCAGAATGCAAATGCCGATAGCGACTACTTCTGGCGGAGAGAAGGCCAAATCCACGTGCTCCTCCACTGCGAAGTCGAGCCAAGTTGAATGCTGCCCTACAGCCGCAAGGACATGGTCTATTCACATGGCCCCATGAATGCAAAACTGTTGGAGCCTTGCTCTGCGCACAAAGAAGCCTTTCGTCAGTGCCAAAACTTGGATCCAAATACAAAGCCAACTCACTTGGATCCCATTCCAATTGCTTTTCAACCAGTTCATCCCACATGGCATCAAGTGGCATAATATCTCCAAGTGTTTGGAAATCATGAGTCACTGGCCAACGTGGAATGTCAATGTGCGGCAAATCCTTGTGAGAGAGTCTACACCAGAATCTGTTGCGCCTAACTGGCCATTGGTCCTGAAGGTCAAAGTTGAGTTTCATCACCTTCATGTTGGCGAGAGCTGCAAAGTCGTCAATGCATTGCAGCGCTGATGGAAAATTCACCACATTGGCAACACACTCCAGCAAGATCTCGTCCACTTGGAGCAGCCATGAACTCTGCAAGATGTAGTACAGGCTATGACTTCGGTGGTCATCCATACCATACTGATCACCCTGTCTAGAGAATCCTTGACATGGGAATCCTCCTGTTGCCTGAACATGGCCTGTGCCCTTAAGAGGGTGGATTCTCTTGAGGGTATTAATATCCCCCAGGTCAGCCTGGAGTACTGGACTGCGAAAATTGGATCGCAATGCATCACATGCCAATGGTGATCTTTCAACAAAGGCAGCCGTTTGGATTCCAAGAATGCTAGATCCTATGGAAAAGCCACCCATGCCACTACAAAAGTCCAACAAAGTGATGGTCGCAAATGGATCCTTTGGAGGGTGTGCATGAATCTCAGTGCCCTCTCCCACTGAACAACCAATTGCCTTCAGCCTTGACGACATCATACAAGGTATGCAAACCCTCAGAAACTCCATTCGCACCAGAGACACTGAAGACCTGGTGCGGGGAAACTCCAGTGCAAAGCAGCATGCCCTGCTCAGTGTTCTCCACCCATGCCACAATCGAAAAGATGGAACCAGGTTGCAGCTCAGAAACGCGCAAATCCATGTTGTGAGGTACGATCTCCCAGTCTTTTGCTGACGCTCGGTTTCACTCTCTGGAAAGAACTGGGCCGAAAACTAACTATGATATAATATATATATAATTTAAATGGATGCATATTAATATATATATATATTATATTACATATATATATATAATATATATTATAGCTATATGTTAAATTACCAGGTAGCATAACCCACATAACGACCAATCCCTCTCTGACTTCACTAAATCGCAGGCACCTCGGCATGTGCCAAGCGGCCCGCCGCTCCATTGGCACCTCGGCGACTGGTGAGGTCACCTGGTGAGTTCACACCATGGAATCTCCACTGAAAAAACCTATGGAAACAGCGGCTCCATTAGGGAAACAGAAAAATATGTGGGAACGTTGTTTGTGGAGAAGTTGTACCCATGTTTCATCTGGATATATCTGGATATATCTGGATAGTTATCTTTCCCACATTACTGTCAATCATGGGGGTTTCCTGTGCCGGAAAGGGGATGCCCTGGGTGGCTGGGCGATCATTCCACTTGCGGTCAGTGCCGGAACTTGGCCCTCTGTTCTCATCTCAATTCATTTCAAGTTTGGCTCGTCACATGCCTCTGATCCCCTGATATAGCCATGGAAAATCACCATGCTATTCATAGGTAAACCATAGGTAAACCATCTATTTCGATTAGGGCCATCGAAATCCCATGGCTAGCCCTGTTAGTCATAACCAGAGGCTATACCCTCTATCAGTCACATGGCTGGGAACTCCACCATGGGATGGCACCCTGGGACCCCCTACGACGGGCATTTTGGCGGCTGTCGAAGCGCAAGGCCTGAGACACGCAGAAGGTCAGCTATTTCTCATGGAAAAAACATATCCCAAAAAAATATCCAGTAATTTTTGTGGTTATACTTTATGCTAGTTGTATGATGATATATGTTAGTTGTTGTTAATACATGTTTATATCATGTGATTGGTTTCATGAAATATTCAGTATGTCATCAGTGATGGCACAACTGGCTGCTACCACCTTCCAGCAGCTCGGTGGCAACCGCGCAACTTTCCTAAGACGTTGAACCTCTGTCTGGAAGGCAAAATGCCACAAAAGGCCAAGAACGGCGAGCATCTTCTGTGCTCCAAGGTGAAAAAACCTACTAAATTACAAGACTCTCTCAGGGTTCACCTGTTTCACTGGGTTTGAAGTTCGGTTTTGATGCAATTCTCTAGATTCTCTAGTCTTTTCTTTTGCAGAAATCCACCTATACTCCCGTGAATCACCATCATTTCTGCCTTGAAACCAGGGCCACCAAAAAGAAACTCTGGCACTCCTGTCATCTCCTGTCAAGTCTTGTGCGCTGCGCTCGCGCTGGGTCGCCCTTTGGCGCTCGTCAAAACGGGGTGGCAAAATTGGCGTCCGCGATTCTCGCGCAGCCGGTTCCGACCATGACTCACCTCTCCTACTACCCGTACCTGGCATTTTAAACGCCCGCTGCTGAGCATGAGTCCCATGAAAACTGCCCGAAATTCGGCTGTTCAAATGGGATCCCAGTCTCCACTATATTGCAGCTGCTGTGGAAGATAACACTGAGGGAATAATTAATTATATATACACATTGTGGCAAACAGTGAGTAGTAATGGCTGTCATAATCTGTCATACTAATCTTATCAGGAAGTTCTTTGGACAACCTACTACTTAATACTGCTTGGCTATGCTTCTCAGATTCACATCACCACTTAGGTTGCGGAGCGCACTGGACCTTCAATGCCATCAACAACATCTAACACAACCACAGCTGGGCTCTTAAATTGAATTCCGGTTTCTGCACAATAAAAAAAGAAACGGCACTTTCACTGAACACTTGGTGTGCTCACAGTGCCATCACATGGCCAGTGGCCGGTGTTCCCCCTCTCAACGTGTTCAGCGGGGTGGCTCTCACCACCTCTCCACCACCGCCGCCCGGCTGGGGACAAACCTGGGGACAGCATCCCACCGACTGCACCGGCGCATCGTGGTCTTTCAGCTCGCGCGTGGCGAAGATGTCTTCAGATTGCACCTGGTGGCAGCTTGCTGTGGGGGTTGGGCTCCTTAAAGACCTCATATCCGGACGGTGTTTCTAATTACTAATTGATGGCTTCAATTCGCAAAAAATAAAACACGGCAGTCATTGGCGAAAATGATCTCAAATAAGTATGGGTGAACATCAAAAAATCTGAGGTCAGCTGGCAGTTTGTCTAATCATTGTTGTTGCTGTTGCTGCCATGATTTTTGTTGTTGCTGTTCTTCTTCTTGTTGTTGTTCTTCTTGTTGGTTGTGCTTGTGCTTGTGCTTGTGCTTGTGCTTGTGCTTGTGCTTGTGCTTGTGCTTGTGCTTGTGGTTGTGGTTGTGGTTGTTGTGGTTGTTGTTGTTGTTGTTGCTTCCGTTGTTGTAGCTGCTTCCGTTGTTGTAGCTGCTTCCGTTGTTGTAGCTGCTGCTGCTGCCTCTGCATGAGAGCCCCTATCCTCAGAGAAGATAGATAGATAGATAGATAGATAGATAGATAAATAGATAGATAGATGGATGGATGGATAGATACATAGATATATCGATAGATAGATAGATAGATAGATAGATAGATAGGTAGATAGATAGATAGATAGGAGAGAGAGATATAGATAGATAGATGGATGGATGGATGGATGGATGGATGGATAGATAGATAGATAGATAGAGAGAGAGATAGATAGAGAAATAGATAGAGAGATAGATAG